ACAGTTCAAAGGTGCTGTGGTTAAAACACTGAGGAGGAAACTCACTATTTGGCACAGCTCGAAGGTGCTGCGGTTAAAACACTGAGGAGGAAACTTTTCAGTCAATGTTTGGCGAGAGCTTACCTACAGAATTACCTTAACAACTTCGTTTCCAAGATAAACAGAACTCACACATGAATTCTCAGCCCCCCTGAAAGACTGCATTGACGCGGGAGGACCAATTCCCACTGCTTCCGCGGTAATATCCTGTGATGGGTGTGTAATATACAAGAAACATCTCCGCAAAGAGGGAGCTCAATGCTATTTATAGCTGAAGCATATTGCCATTGTACATTAAGGTCGCGTCCCAAGTCTGATAAATGTCTAGGAAAGGGCCTACGGTCAAGGGGTATCAGGGCCTGGGCCAAAACCAGTGTCCAGTGCCCCCACATGAGGTAGTCGGCTCTAGGAAAATCAAGAGTCAGACCAAGCACGGGAAAAGCAGGCCCAAAGTCAAAGTCAAAGTCAAAGTCAACCCAGTAGTCAGCCTCGGCCATAGATCAGATGTGCACATCAATGGTTGCCTGCAGGTATCCGGAAGATTCCAGTCCCGACTGGGAAAAGGTACCGCTGCTTTGAGGCTGCATCCAGGCGGTCGAGATTGGGCAAATCTGGAGCGTCGACACCGTCAAAGGGGAGACTGGTCCACGCCAGTCCACACTGGTTAACACTAGAAAAGGAATGCCATACACTGGGGAAGGCATTCTGCCTTGCGATGGCTTGATGCTAGTGCTGTATCGTGAGGCTGCTAGACTGGGATGGTGGCGCCAGATGCTGCTGGTGGGCGCCAGCCTAGAGGGAGATTATGTTGGCGCGGCCATAGCCGCGATGATGTAGACTAGGTGACGAGTATTGGCGAGGAGGAGGAGGATCAGGGCTGTGAGACTGATGCGAGATGTGGGGAAGCTTACCTGGACTTACCTGGCGATGGCACGCGTGATCTGCTACTGCTCTCCACGAAGGTGAGGAGGTACAGCGCCGTCCTCCGTACTTGATTGCTGATGTGGAAGGAGGATGGGTTCCATGTGATGATCTGCACAAGTGATTATGTCAGAGGACGTCAGAGGGAACATACATTGCTGAGGTGGCGATA